CGCAAGCCAGCCTCTGATGCAAGACCCACACTTGACTGAAAACCCCCTTAACAAAACTTTTAGACTGTTGAGGGCAAGGCTGTTCATCTTAGCATGCCCAGGGTCCAGAACACTTCAGGCCATGTGTATGGACAATTTGTATATTGACTGGACGAGTGATTTAGCTTGTGTCACAGGATAATGCCCTATGTTATTTTCCCGCACCTACGAGCTGCCCCTTTCTACCTTGTTAAGAGTGATGGCCCAACTGAGCTCTCTCTCCAAGACCATCAGATTCTCCATAACCTAATCCAGGTAGCACCGCCCCCCATACCTCCAATAGGCTGTACACAGCAAGCGCTCCCCCAAAATATGCTGAGTGAATGCTGTTCCTGGGTAATGCCAAATAAGTTCCCACATTTGAATCTGAAAAACCACACGCAAATCTGTGAAAGCACAGGGGAGAAAAATTCATGCATTTAAGTATTACCTTGAAGAACTCCCTGGAACGTGAACATGAAGAAAAACCAAGCCACCTAGGAACTTAGGTACCTCTGTTTCATGAGACCAAAACGAGAAGGGACAATAAAAGTGAAGCCTCCTTGGGGCTTCCCTGGTGGCGCAGTGGTTAAGAATCCGCCTGCCAATGCAGGGGACACGGGTTCAAGCCCTGGTCCGGGAAGATCCCACATGCCGCGGAGCAGCTATAAGCCCATGCCACAACTACTGAGCCTGCGCTCTAGAGCCCGCGAGCCACAACGAGAGAAAGCCCGTGCGCAGCAACCAAGACCCAACACAGCCTAATATATAAATTTATTTTTTTTTTTTAAAAAGTGAAGCCTCCTACGTTCCCTACAAAACCCCTGGAATATGTCTTTGTAGACATTTAGAACGTCTACTTTTTGTCTTAACTGTTTAGGATTTCCTAACTCATTTACTTTCTAGCCATTTGATCTTGGAGACAAATAACTTCATCTCAGTTTTCTTCTCTGTAAAATGGAGGTAACAACTGTCCCTCCTTCATAAAGCCTGTATGAGGGTTAAGTGTGATCACGCGTGCCGTGTGTCTTCAATGCGCCTGGTACAGAGCAGCTGCTCAATAAATGGGCAGAACATGCCTCCTCCACCGTCACCAAAGATAAAAGTGCTGGGCCAATACTAAATAACCAAGCCGACCTTCATGTATCATACTGGACTCTCCCCGTCACCAAGCACTAAGTATGGACCGATCTAAGCCTTTAAATGGAGAGTCTATCCTACTCTCTCTCCGGACAGTGGTCCTGGAATGTGCCTGCTTGCTACCTTCTTGGGAAAGCTCTGCCTTCTCCTAGTCATTTACTCATAATTTCCAAATGGTCACAAGTCAAATGGCACACATCAGTGTGCTCTGGTTGCTGAATAAGCAAAACACTGGCTTTTTGCTTGGAAAACACTCACACACCAGCATGAAACCTTGGCAGCCCATCCGCTCTTGCCTCTCAAAAGCAGCCACTCATTGTGTGCCCGCCACGCCATGACTTCCAGAGTCATGTGGGACCCTCTGCCCCCAAAGGTGAAGCCCACATATTTCTGACCCAGCTCGAGGGCACATCACAGAGAGATGAAAATAAAGGCGCCAACATCTGCAAAGCACAGAGCTCTTTGCCGACAGGACGCAACAAGAGGGAGAGTGTGGGCTAATTTGGGGTTCCAAGCTAGGAGATCTAATGCAATCTTTTAGGTGAGACTTAGGAATCCAAAGAGCAAAAAAGTTCATAAATAAATAGGAAGACAATTAGTAGAACTAGAAAGAGATTTAAAAAAAAATTCTAAGCTGCCCAAATTAATTCCTATTCCTGAGTTTCCACATCACCAAAAAAGTACCCAACAGTTCTATTCCTAAGAATAACCACAAGATAACACAAACAGCGCTCTTAAAGTTTCCATATAGCTCACTCATGAAGCCTAGGCCAACAAGATTTCGTGGTCTGGCCCAAAACTTTTCCTTATATTCTGAGGATAACAACCTTAAGCCCCATAATTTTTTTTGATTAATTTATTTATTTTTTGGCTGCGTTGGGTCTTCATTGCTGCATGCGGGCTTTTCTCTGGTTGCAGCGAGCAGGGTCTACTCTTTGTTGCGGTGTGCGGGCTTCTCATTGCAGTGGGTTTTCTTGCGAAGCAACGAGCTCTAGGTGCGCAGGCTTCAGTAGTTGAGGCTCAGTAGTTGTGGCTCGTGAACTCTAGAGCTCAGGCTCAGTACTTGTGGCACACGGGCTTAGTTGCTCCGCGGCATGTGATATCTTCCTGGACCAGGGCTCGAACCTGTGTCCCCTGCACTGGCAGGTGGATTCTTAACCACTGAGCCACCAGGGAAGTCCTAAGCCCCATAATTTTTAAGAACTGAATTGTGATCCACTCAAGACATTTATACTAATGTACCTCTTCCACATATGTAAGCTTGGGTGGGTGGGGGGGGATTAAAAATTCAACTGTGGTGATTATCAATTAAGAAACTAAAGGGCATATTTCACATTCATGCTAAAGGCAACCACTCACGAGTCCAACATCATGGAATACAATTCAACAGTTAAAAGATGCAGACTGGAGACAATGACTTCTTGACCAGGACCGCACTTGAGTTCAGAAAAACAGTTACAAAATTACTGTGCCACTCTCTATGAAACATTCATTGTGATATTTTTGAGAACATATCAACGTACTCCAACATGACACTTTTGAACTTCCAGCCTGGTTCCAAGTCCTTCTCAAGTTCATAGGTGACCACGTTTGTATTATCACCAGTCTGTTTTTCTATCTAACCTTGCAAAACAAGATTCCTCGCCAAAAAAAAAAATGTTATCTGCTGTATTTGCTGTTAAATTTAGTAACCTCAAACGAAGATCAAGAGCAGCTGCATGTAATTTTAAAACATTAACCCTATCCTCTGGTGTGGCCGCAAAATGTGGGTACATACCCCTACAAACAGCATCACAAACTATATACTTACCCTTATCACACCCCACACAAACAGAGTACAGTGACACTATCTGAATGTGCAGAAAGGGAAAGTTAAAATAACTGACAGCTCGATTAGCAGGCACTGAAGAACTTCTCTGGAAGGAAAATAACCGCTCAGTCTAACCGATGTCACAGCCCTTAGAAGCATATACAACTAGCACAGGAGAAGGATGATAATGCTCCCATATCAGCATGTTTCAATTTATCACAATCAAGTGAAGGACAGACTTGTAATAGGGTTGAATGCCTGGCAAGTCCGTTTAATCCCAGACACCAAACATCAGGCTGGTGCAACAGACAGGCAGTTGACAAAAACAAAACCAAAACAAAGAAGAGAGCCATTTACCTCTGGCTTTCCAACAAACCTAGTTAGATGTTATTTCTCCAGCTGAATTTCAAAATTCAGTTCAATAACCCAACATTAACTTCAGAGACTCCTGAAGCAACCTCAACTGGCATAAAACATTCAGACTAATACGCAGCATCAGGCCAGCAAAACAGGACGCAGCACTAGCAGGAACGTGTCCCCTCCTAAAATTTAGGGCCCCTGGGCTTCTGAAAACCAGTTCTGCTTATAACCTGACCCAGAGCGAGTATCAAAGCCTGCATCAAGAGCAGTTTGCCCACAGAAGCCCAAGCTTCTTAATGTTACAGAGGGGGAGCCATGGTGAGCTTAAATCAGAAAGAGCTTCCCAAACCTCAAGTAAACCAACCACACGATAATAATTTAGGCAGGGAAAACGATCTGCCTTCCTAACTTCCCCCAATGCTGTCTTTTTCAGTTGAAATAGGTCTGGCTTCTTTGGAGGGTAGTGGTGCTTTACGGCACTCACAGATGGGGCAGAGTTCCAGGAATAATAATTTAGGCAGGGAAAACGATCTGCCTTCCTAACTTCCCCCAATGCTGTCTTTTTCAGTTGAAATAGGTCTGTCTTCTTTGGAGGGTAGTGGTGCTTTACGGCACTCACAGATGGGGCAGAGTTCCAGGACAAATGCCTATTTTTATGGAGGTTCGGAGGCTTCTGCAGCTCCTGGGCTTGTGGGTTCCTCCTTACCTACCCACTCTGCCTGATCACTAATTCACTTAAAATTTTAAAGGAAACTGCTACACCCTTGGCTCTGCCCTGGGCACCCACAACCTTTCCCCTGAGGACCCAGATAAGAGGAGCTGTTCTTTCTGCAGTCTCAGGCCTCTCTTCCTGTCTAGCCAGCTCCTCCAGGCAGCATCAGCCTCGGGTCTGCATTCACAGCTTAGGAGTCCCTGTGGGCAGATCCTGCTGGCGCAGCAGCCTCAAACCCTACCAAACCATCCAGCCAGGGGAGGAGGGTGAGGACCAGTCTGCACAGATATCTCTTTCCACCCAGGGCTTTAGGACTAGAAGGGAGGAATCCTGGGGTGGAGGCAGTCCCGGCCTGAGCCCCCTCTCATTCCTTTGGGATTTTTCCACCGGCCCTCGCCTATGCAGCGAAGCCTGCCTGGCCAAGCCGGGCCTTGGAGAGCTGCATTCACTGACCATCGCCCAGTCCCCTACTAGTGACCTTGGTCACAGGGATTCGCCTCCCTCTGCCCTCTGTGGCCTGACACCACCTACTTCGCGGGTTACGAGAGGGTCACAAGGATGTGGAAAGCGCCTAGAAGCCTGCTTGGCACCCAGGAAGGGAGCAAGAGAGGGAGAGGACTTGCCTCTTCTTCTGCCTCGGGCTGTCCAGAGCCCGCTCAGTTCTCTCCCTACCTCCAGCTCCGGGGAAAATGGGGCGGGGGCTGCACATCCGAAGTCCCCCGATCACCTGGGGGCGCGGTGGGCGGAGGGGGTCCCGGAGGGGGTGTGGCTCCCCAGGCCCCAACATCCCTATCCTCCCCGGCTCGGAAATCGAAACAATCCAACTGCGAGGCGGCGGCCGCGAGGGGAGGCAGCGAGGCATCCCAGCGGGCGGGCCGGGGTCCCTGGCTGGGGGCCGGGCGCCGGGGCGGGGGAGCGGGGGCGGGGGGGGATGCACGGAGGGCACCGGCCCCGACCTACCTCCTCCAGCAGCGTCACGGTGTTCCTGCAGTTGTGCAGCCGCGTGGTGAAGCTGGACGTGGTGGGCGAGTTGTAGTCCTCGGTGGTCTCGGCGATAAACTCGGAGACGGAGATCTGGTCCGGCATCCTGCCGGGGAGGGCGAGACACAAGCGGGGGCGAAGGGTGAGTCACGGCGCAGGCTCCCGGGGCCGCGGGCCGGCCGGCGGCTCATGAACGCCCCGCGCGCAGCCCGCCACCCGCCGCCCGGCCTGGAAAGGCTCGAGATCCCGGCGGCAGCGGCAGGAGAAAGGGCTGGCGGCCGAAGCAGGCGGCGGCGGCCGCGGCGGCGGCGCTCGGCGCGGGGCCCTTCAAACTCTGAGCTGCGCGCGAGGCAGGGGACTCTCGGGGACCCGCCTCCCTCTGCTCATGCCGGCGGCGGCGGGGGAGGGGACGCGGCGCTGCGCGGCTCTGCGCGGGGGCCCGGGCTGGGCAGGTCGGGGCGGCAGGCGCTGCCTTCTCACACGATCTGACAGGCGGCGGCGCGGACACCGACTGACTGAGCACACACTCCCGCTGGCGGGCTGGCGGGAGGCGGGCGGCGCTCCCGCTACAGTCACGGGGACAAACAAGGAAGTGCTCTGCGCACGCGCCACCGGGCCCCCCCACCCGCCGCGGCCCCCGCCCCGCCCCGCCCCGCCCCGCCGGCCCCGGCCCCGCCCCCGGCCGGCGCCCCCGCGCCGACGCCCGGGACCCGTTCCGACGCCCGCTCCCGGGCGGGGGCCGCGCGGGGCGGCGGAAGCCCGCGTCCAACTGGCAGCCCCCGGAGCGGTTACTCCGGCGAGCTCGTTACGCGAGCGTTTCGCAAGAAGGGGGACCAAAAAAAGTTGTGCGCGTTCTTTTTTAGCCCCGTGTGGGTGCAGGAAGCGAGGCCCGGAGAGCCGCCTCCTGCTGCGAGAGCCGCGGGCCCGGCGACAGGGGCACGGGGCGGCCACCGCGGCCGAAGCGAGGAGCCGGCCCGGCGCCCGGGCTTGCAGCTGTCCGCTCGCCGGCTCCGGCCCTCACTCCCTTTCAGGGCGCTCACCGCCTTTGGAAGGCTAGTTTTGTGCAGTTTGCTTAAGTCGCTAAAATGCTAAGTGAAGACACATGAAGGGTTCTTTCTTTTTTATAATTTTCTAATCTTTCATTTTCCTTTTTTTTTTTTTAAACCTGAAGGCCAGACGAGGGTCAGGGGTGTAAAAGGTATTTCCCGAGGTGCAAATGGTGTACAACGCCAAGCAGATGCCAAATTTCAGCGGAAAAATTACCAACAAATTGCTCATTCCTCGGCCCTGGCAGATGGCTATTTTGCTCAATCTACTTAATCCAAAGAATCCATTTAATTTCTCACCATTGATTGCGGATGAAATTGGTTTTGAAAAAAAAAAAGCTAGACCCTTAGGAAGCGCCTCAGGATTGGCTCCTGTAATTGGAGCCAGTGGGAGCCGCCTGGTAAACTCAGCTCCCAAATGCTCCCCCCCCTCCCCGCCCCCGGGCAGAAGGCTGGCCCCTGGGCCTCCCCTGGGATTGAGTTCCTGCCATCATGTGTGTTGTCTTGTTGTCTGACAACCTTCTGCAAACTACAACGGGGTGCCTCAAGGCAGGGAGGGACCTTGTGGACCTGTCTTATCATTGGGCCTGGGAGGGATTGTCGAATGAAAACACATCTCCTCGCTCACCGTCAATAACTATTTACTAAGGCCCTACTATGTGCCCTGGAGATTCCGCAATGACAATGAGCTGCTCTCCTGACCTTACCTTCTAGTAGGGAAACAGACAAGCAATACTTATGTAGTATAAAGTGGAGCACATATAGAGTAACAAAGTGATGCAGGTGCTATGGTATAAGGAATGTTCAGAGAAGGCCTCTCTGACAAGGTGACATCTTGAGCAGAAAAGAGAATGAGGGGCTGCCTCGTGCTGTTGGCTCTGCGATCTTGGCCTTCAGTTGCCTCCCAAGAAGGGGAGAGATGAGGGCACCAACCCCATGAGGCTGTTAAATGACAACGGGTGAGAAAGTGCTCTGTGCACAGGAAAGCCACTGTGAGAGCTCCAGCTGTTTTGTCTAGCTGTGCTGGCTGTCCTGAACCTGCACTGTCCCTTCAGGGAACTGTTCATTTCTGTTAGGAAGGCAAGCCTTTCAGCTAATGAAAGGAAGGCCTTGGTAAGGCAGCACACACCAATAAAGACTCTTCCCTGCCAAAGTGAGGTGTTGAGACATGAGTGCTGAGAGGCATTCTAAAAAATAAGTAAAGAAGCAAACAGGCACCCTCCTTCTCCTCATTCACACTTTAAAAGTTTGGTTTGGGACACACCAAGGCTGAGGTTCTGGGGAGACAGCCAAATGGCCATTGCAGGCCATTTAAGACCTGCACCCGGGGGCTTCCCTGCTGGTCCAGGGGTTAAGAATCCGCCTGCCAATGCAGGGGACACGGGTTCGATCCCTGGTCGGGGAAAGGACCACATAGGCAACTAAGCCTGCGCTCGGCAATTACTGAGCCCAGGTGCCACACCAGAGAGAAGCCCGCGCACCACAGCAAAGAGCCCGCGCGCCGCAACTAAGACCCGACGCAGCCAAAAATAATAAGTAAATATTTAAAAAAAAAAGAAAAGACCTTCACCTGGAGGTCACTTGCTCATGTGCTGTTGTTGACAGACTGGCATATGAGCCACCAGAAGAAAATCCTACCTCTTTTTCCATATACTAACTGGGTCATCCTTCATCTAGAAGGTTCTGTGACTGGAGCTAATATGGCCGCTACTAGCTTGGGCTAATTAAGCTCTCTGAGCCTCAGTAACCGCATGCTACCCCATGCAGCAGTTGAGAGCCCAACACCCAGCACTTAGACTTCCATCCATTCCAGGAAGGCCTTCCTCTAGGCTGGAAATCAATTTAGACTTTGATTTTGCATTATTTCTACTCTTCCCTCTATTCCAAGTTGTCATCGAATGCCTGTCACCTCCGCTGGGCTGGTAGCTGCTTCCATCCCATAGGTATGGCTTAGAGTAAACACTCAATAAATATGAGCCATTACGAAAAGCCTAGAGTCGGTGAATAATTGCCTCAATTCCAGGAGGCCTGGATTCCAGAGCTTTCGCTCCTAATAACTGATGCTGTCACCTTGGGCCTTGGTGCCATCACTTGTAAAATAAAGGGGTGGGTGTGTCAAAATGACCACACAGATCCCTCCCAGCTGGGGCTGAGTCCGTGCATCCCCTCAGCTCTACAGACGCAAGGAATAAAGATTGTTAGGACAAGCTAAGCTAACTGCGATGGTCAACAGCGGGGATTTCTTTCTTGACGGAACTCACCAGAGTCCAAACTGCTGCCACCAACTGTTGTTTCAGTTTCATTTGAAGATTATGTTATGTATCTGCTCCTCCTCCGGCCAAGAAAGGAGTATGTGAACAATGAGATATTGTGCCCGGCTAAATATATACCTCCTTAGACTGGGCTGCAATTAGAATTTCAAAGGTTCACACCTCCACCCACCATTTCTAGGGTTCATGGGCCATAATCCTTTTTATTTATTTATTTATTTTATTTTTTATTTTTTTAGCAGTACGCGGGCCTCTCACTGTTGTGGCCTCTCGTGTTGCGGAGCACAGGCTCCGGACGCGCAGGCTCAGCGGCCATGGCTCACGGGCCCAGCCGCTCCACGGCATGTGGGATCTTCCCGGACCGGGGCACGAACCCGTGTCCCCTGCATTGGCAGGCGGACTCTCAACCACTGTGCCACCAGGGAAGCCCGGCCATAATCCTTTTTAAATTTGAAACCATGCCCCGAAAACCATTCCTGGCTATCTTTTGCGAACAGAATCTGATGTGGGCAAAACTTAAATGCTGGATTCCTTTGTGCAGAGCTGCTCAGAAATACACAGCACCCCTTCCGGAGCCAGGAAAAATACACACACATACTCGTACACACGTGTACGCGTACTTGTGTGCACCCGGCTCTGGCTAAAGCACGCTTCCTCTTTGTTGTCATCATCATCTCCATCAGACACCCTTCGGCACCCTTGGACTCATCATGCCTGTTTACTCTGAGCACTGCTGACCAAGGTTGAGAATGGTCCTTACAGAATACTTTTCTTCTTGAAAAGCGGCGGTAAGAATAGTGATGGTTTATTTCCCTGGTCAGCAATGGCACTACTGACCTCACAGTCATCAGGCATTGTCTGAGTTAGGTTCCCAGTTGCAGGCTCCACTCATCCATCTGCCTAAGGACCGAGGAGGTGCCTTTACAAGATAGCTGACAATGCACCGGGGGGTGGCAGAGTGGGGAGGGGGTGTGAGGTGCTCTCTGGGCACGAGAAACCAAGAGGAGCTACCGGTGCTCTGATCCACGGTGCTAGGCAGCAGCCCAAGCTGATGGGATGGAATTACAGCATTCCTCCAAGGCTCCCAGTGCCTTCATGGGACAGGGACAACGGGTGGTGTGGGAAGAGAATACGCTTTGTGTTAACTGGGACCTGGCTTTGAATCTCTACTTTGTCACTTATTAGCCTTGTTTTCTCATCTGCAAAATTAGTGTAAGAATAAAACTACTACACTACACGTTGTGTAACATGAAATAAAGTGAGAAGATATGGATAAAGCAGTTTGAATAATCAGCCAATGTTAGTTCCCTTTGAACTCCCTTTTCATGTGAAGTATGACTATAAATTCATCTTTTTTCATTCCAAGACTCAGATATCTCCCTAAATTAGTCACCTGGAGGAGGAAAGGAGAGGGGCAAGGGGAGACTGCACAGTAATTCCCAAAGTCTGGGATCTCAGATTTGGGAACTGTCTTTAGAGACCTTTCTTATTCTTGTAAGTATCCCTTGTGAGGTCAGATCCATGAGTGATGGATTTTGGAAGTAAATAAACAGTATCTAGAATCAAATAGGATGAATACTAATCAGGATCAGAAATGAATGGAGGCCATAAAATTAAAGCCTCATTTTCATGGAACACAGTTCCTGTAAAGAAGGATATTCTGATCAAGGCAACTTCTAGAGGACAGAACAGGGCATTTGTTTCATAACAGCATGAGTTATAGGCTGATTCTCAAGAGGAAGACTTGGCCTCATATCTCTACCAGATAGCAGCTATTAGACCTTGTTAAAGTAATTCATGTCTCTGAGTCTCGGTTTTCACATCTGCAAAATGGGGGCAATGTTAATAACTATCTCTTAGTGCTCTCAGGAGTCTATGAGCTAAAGCCCATAAAGTGCTTAACAGGGTCTGAGACATCATAAGTGGACAATACTTTTCAGGTATTATGGGAATATTGAAAGGCTTATCTAGAGATAAAAATTCTGATATTCCTCCCCCCCCAAAAAAAAATTTACTGAGAACTGCAATATACCTGATGCTTTGCTAAATATAGCATTATGGACACACATATCCTTCTTTAAACTTCATGACAACTTTATGAGGTAAGTATGATTATCCTAAACTTACCAGAGAGAAACCCGAGGATGCTGAGGTGTAGGATAGTATTGGGTTGGCCAAAAAATTTGTTCGGGTTCTTCCATAAGATGTTACGATCGAACATTCTGGCCAACCCTGTACCTTCTGAGCTCCCATCCTGGGCCAGGCATTGCCCTGGTTGTTATATAGGCGGTGTCTGAATTCATCCACGTAACAGTCATGACGTGGGAGCATTACAATAATGGAAACCAAGACACAAGGTGATCTCACTGCAAGTTAATGTCCCAGAGCCCAGCAGACGAAATCCAGGGCTTTTTCTACTGCAAAAATCAGGCTCTCGATGACACCTCTCATAGTGCTATTTCGTTAGATGTCTTTCCCAACTCAGACAACCAAAGAAAGTACTGTTATTTCCTTATTTCACCTGATACCTTATTAATTTGTTTTCTATCATCTTAACGAAGTGTGGGAAAAAAGGAAAGCACTGCGGGGGGCAGGAGGAGGGAGGGATGCATTGGATTCCACGTGTTTTACTGTCAGGCTCACGTTGCCACGTTCGACCTACACTGCAGACTGCTTCGCTCATGTGCCTCATATGAGTGCATCCCAAGTACGCTTATACTATTTCATGTAATAAAAAAAGAGCCTATTCTAGTCTCCAATGTACTTTATTTAAATATTCCAAGTAAAACCACTGGAGTGTTCTCAGTTAAGTAAAGAGGAGAATATGGTTTGTTTGGAGACAAAAAACTAACTCTCTGTTCCCTGACTGTTCCTTCTGAGGGAGATAAGGAAGAAAAGTCAGGCAGAGTGCTGGGGACCCAGAAGACTCAGAATCCTGGTGTAAATATCAACTGAAAGAACTCAGGAATATATTTCTGCTCTATCCTGTAAGAAAATAATATCAACTAACAATTGTTGTGCTTACTATATGCCCTGCACGATTCTGCATCGCAGCAGGCCTGCCCTCACTTCACACTCACAGCAACCGCATAGAGCGGGAGCTGGTATTATCCCCATTTTATACCTGGGGGAAACCTGGAGCTTAGAGGTCACCTTGGCAAGTGGTGGAGCCAGACTGACTGGTCCGATTTCACAGCCATGTGATCAGCCTCGGGACAATGGGTCCACAGCTCTAGGATGACTTTCTGTTGGAGCCGATGTGTTATCTCTTTTCCTACTGGGGAGCTCATTACAAGCCCAACTCAAACGCAGCCTTGGCTGGTCTGGAGAGCACTCCTATTGCCCCATTCCTCCAGCTGGGATTAATCTTCACAGGGATGTTTGCAATGTAGCCTCTCTTACTTTGTGTGAAGGTTACTGCATCACTGGGAGGGACTTCAGACTCCCTACACATGGAGAGATGATTAACCCACCCATCCCACCCCATCCCCGCCTGCTCAGAGACAAATAACTCTGTTAGTGGTGGGGCTTGGCTCAGAACTCCATCTTCCTACTGAGTTTCCAGCACTACAGAATTCCCGGACTGTCAATCCTTGAGGGCACAGGGAGACTAAATTGTATCCTTATCTGTATCACCTACATCTCTGCAGAACTAAGGGAGGGACAAGAGATTGCTAGGGCCCCAGGCTTGGCATTTTACAAGGACCATCTCCTGAAATCTCCCCCAAGAGCCTCATGAGGGACCACCCCGTCTGTTGAGAGCTCAGGGACAGCACAACAGTTAATAAACAGAGAACTGCTATTCACAGCCTGTCTGAAACCAAACCCTGCAGGCTTTTCCTTCCCCACGGAAGGCACTGCCTAGTACAAGTTCCCTGTGTATACCCAATAAATGTGTTTTGGATTGAGCCAGCTCTTTTTTATGAGCTACATCTTTTCTAATATAAGTAAAACAACATCCAGTGAAGAAAAATTGTGGTGTTATACGGGATTCTGAAAAATGGGAAACACTTAGAGAACATCCAGGTTTCTTTTCTTTTCTCTTTTTTTTGATGAATTTGTCTTAGTTTCAGTTTAGTGGCTCACACTTACTCAGGCCCACGTCTGTGCAACTCAGGTCTGAGAACATGCCTCTTTTATGACCCTTTTCCATGGCACCATTTTCCAAGGCACTATTTTCCAAATATTTATATTTCTCCAACTAGACTGTGAGGTCCTTGAGATCAGGGGGTTTTCCATTGGCTGTTACAGTCCCAGAGCCCCTGGTGCTTAAGAGATACTTATTGAACAGATGGAGGGAAGAATGAATGAACGAATGAGCATTTACATTGGGGGAGGGGTGTAAGAGAAATTGGGAGAGAACTAGAAAGAGGAATTCTGGTTCTTAGAGTCTCTTCAATCATCTGACATCGTCATAAACTAACAGAGTTGGAAAGAATTTCAAGAATAATATGGTTACCAACCCTTTCACTTTCCGGACAAGGAAACAGATTCTCCAGTGGTTAAATGACTTGCCCAGCATTCCCTGGCCAAATTGTGGGAAATCAGGGCCAGACCCCAGGTGTGCTGGTTCCCAAGTGTTGCCCCACTCCTCCACCCTAACCAGTTACATTTCAAGGAAGGGATTAAAGACCTTGCCGTAAGAAAAGTATCTGAAACTCCCATTTAAGAACGGATTATGTTGGTCTTTGCATCACAGTATCAAGGAATGCCTGTAGACATTTGCCTACCATTTAAAACTGTAACTACAGGGCTTCCCTGGTGGCGCAGTGGTTGAGAATCCGCCTGCCCATGCAGGGGACACGGGCTCGAGCCCTGGTCTGGGAAGATTCCACATATGCCGCGGAGCAACTAAGCCCGTGCACCACAACTGCTGAGCCTGCGCTCTACAGCCCGCGAGCCACAACTACTGAGCCCTCGTGCTGCAACTACTGAAGCCCGCGCGCGCGCGCCTGGAGTCCATGCTGTGCAACAAGAGAAGCCACCGCAATGAGAAGCTCGCGCACCGCAACGAACAGTAGCCCCCGCTCGCCGCAACTAGAGAAAGCCCGCGCACAGCAACGAAGACCCAATGCAGCCAAAAGTAAATAATAAATAAATTTTTTTTTTAAAAACTGTAACTACATAAAATTTGGCATAGGACCACTTAACTGATTCCCCTAACTTTGAGCAAGGAGACTGCGAGTACAGCATGAGACCAGTTATCACTGTCTTGCCTCTTCCTCTTCTTTCCTGCTCTCCAAAAACCAGCTAAGCCAGGGAGCTTGAGGGCAATCAGTGTCGGTGGATGGACCTTCTAAGTCCTCCCCTCCCACCCTTTGCCCTTCCTTAAGAGCCCCTTTATAAAAGGTTAGAAGTCACAAGAAATAAGGAGAGAGGTGTTTTGTAACCTGAACATTGGGAGTCAGTCGTGATGTTTTAGTAAACGACCCTCCCCTCCCCCAACCCAGGGCAGCCCTA